TCACTCTCTCACTCTCTCTCTCTCTCTCTCTCTCTCTCTCTCTCTCTCTCTCTCTCTCTCACACACACACACAACACAGACTGGCAGTGAAGCAGAGGAAAAGCCAGGCTTATATAGTGAGGGGGCGGAGTTAACAAGGCACAGGTGGAGAGGAATTAACAAGACACAGGTGAAGGAGGTGAAGTAATCATCGAGGATGAAGAGAAAACTCCAAGGTGAGAAAAACACACAAAACAAAAATGAGCAGAAACCTAAAAAAAGGAAAAGAACTTTTGTGGGTTATATTTACAGGTAAACACAGAAAAACTCAGAGGCCATAAAAGGTCAAAACATTATATAAAAAATCAGTGTACACAGCCTCAGGTATATAAAGTACCACTGTCTTGAAGGAAACACAACCATTCAACTGTAACTGATTTACAAATGAAGTTAAAATAAAAACATAAGCTGCTAATCTGCCTCTCACACACAGAGTTTTTTGTGTTTTGTGAGCCCATTGCGTAGACATAACGCATCCCTGTCATTAACTGTCACAAACCTATGGCTAATCTTAATCCCTACTCTAACACTAATCTGACCATAAATTTAAAGCCAACATTTGGAACCTTTCACTCAGTGGGGAGCTGTAGGATGTCCTAATGAAAGTACGTGTTCCCATAAGAAATTGTGTCCCTGCAAGTATACCTGTACCAAGAGCACACATTTGCACACACATATACACAGTAATCTGTCAGGGAGTCTTTCACAGCGGATTAACAAGGCTGTAAAAGAGCAAATCACTGCTGCTCATTCATCTGGTACTAAACACCACCTCCAGCAGCAGCAGCAGCTCGTGGAAACACATTTGGATTTCTGGAAATTAGATACACGACTTCAAACAAGAGACAAATCTTCATGTGTTTACCTTCAAATATCTTTCAAATGTATATATTAAAGCTTATATTTGCCTTAATGATATTATGAACCTTGGACGCGGAAGCTGCTTTGTTAGAAGCTAAATTGATTTTGTAAATATGATTAGATTGGTTTAATGCGTTGCCTCAGTTCCAACCTTAACACCCTTTCACATTCACTGAGAACAGACGTGCATTAATATCACACTTTGCCTGTTTTTGAGAAATCCCGCCCCCCCCCCCCCCCCCCCGCTTCTCCCCACACTGCTGTTTGCTAAGAAAGTTTAGCGTCTTTACACATTTTTCTAAACTCCACTCAAAGACTGATTCTTCTGTACATTTGTAGATCATTTTAAAGAACAATGAGAAGGCTTAGTTTTGATAACACGACCAAGGTGAGGTTGCGTCATAAAAAACATCCAGATTTTAAAAAACTTTGCTGTGGCGAAGCCTCATGAAAAAACAAGATTTTTCACAAGGATTTTCATTACCAGTTCTTTTTAAAACAAATTTGTTTTTTCAGACAATTTGTACCAGGAAACTAAATTTGAATTACAGGTGATTATGTATTGCTTTTTTTGATTAAATATAAAAAATGATGATATTTAACGAATTATCTAACAACATCCGATGTGAAAACTGAATTCATTTTGGTGGAGAAAGAACACAGTTAGTATTTATATAGAAAAAAACACTTGTCAGCTTTTTATAAACATTTTATTACCCTCGTCCGTTTATTTCCAAAAAAGAATGATTCAGTTCTAATTATGGATGAGACAGTTTACAGTGACTGGGCTTCACACACAGTACATGACATGCAGTAGATAGAAAAAAAAGCAAAGAAAATGAATTCAATTGTACATATTTAACCTCTACACCCTGAATGAATTTTTACCCTGAATGGAAAATAAAAGATTCCCTTGATTCAGACAAAGGAATGTGAATTATAAATACCATTTTCAGGTGTTTTTCCCCCTTTATTCTGAGATATATTTATCCGTTACCTTTACATTTTCTGTTTTACACTGCCAGCCATTCCACCTTTCCCTCTGCTGTGAATAGAGTCACATCATCAGCAAACCGTTACACTTCACCAACACTGATTCAAGCTCTGTTGTGTTGATTTCTGTATGAATGCCAGAACATTTTAACGTTAACATTTCAAAGTATATAGCGCAGTCGGCAAAAACACTAAAAAGTTTTGAGTTGTGCTTCAGACTTTAAGTACAAAGTCTCCAATTCTTCGCTAACTTTCACTCCAGAAAATCTTGGCAGGATTCAGCATGGCAGTGACAGGAATGACGAGATGTTAACATGAATACATTACTGATGTAGAGTTCGGAAATACTCCGACATCAACGTGAGTGATCTAATGTCACAGGAGATGAAGAAGGAAGTCGAAAGCATTGTATTTGTTAGAGACGCTTCAACACATCTTTTTTTTAGGTACTTCGTATATTCAGGCTAACAGTAGTGGATGAGTCGACTGAGTACAGTAGTAGTACAGGTACTAGGCAGACAGAGTCAGTGTGTACCTAATACTCTGCAGAACTCTCAGGATGGATCCAAACATCAGCTCTAATTAGGACCTTTATGTAAATGTCCATTGTACTTGATAATCGAAAATAGTCTAATATAACACTAGTTATCATTCTGCTTATTCCATTCCGTACATATTGTAATTACTTCATTTAAAAAAATGACCAAAATGAGAATAAATGGAGATGAGTTCATTCATTTAAATATATGTATATGTTTTGTTTTCGTTCTGAGCTTTGCGTGTTTCCTTGATCTCTAAATGTTTCTGGGCTCCTGACAACACGGTGTTTTGGAAATCCAGTTTAAATGTTCTCGCTTTTTAAAAATTATTTAAACTTTTTACATTCGTCACCTCCGACCATTCTCCTGTTGCTAACAGCTCTGTGTGTGATTTTAGACAAAACTGATGTCATTCTCGCTCAAGTCACCTAACGATTAGAGACCACCAACATATATTAATTGAGACTGGATATAATTTTCCCTAAACGCTGTTTCTGAAAGCTAATTAATGGAACTGCTAGCTATTTTCTAGCACCCATTTATCCACCTCCGTCTTATATACTAGACGAATGAATCAATGGTTTAATTTACAGTTATAACCAAGGAGTGTTGCTGCTGTTTACATCCTTCACGGCTAAATCGAAATCAACCTTCTTATTAGAAAAATATACAATCTATATATTTCCAGAGTTGCAATCAAGACCACTCTGAGGTCGTAAAATGGTTACGACCTCAGAGAATATATCAAAGCTAAGACTTTGTTAGTGTCATGGTTTAGTTTCAGGAACCATTTAACCATGTCACCAAACTAACTAACCTAACCTAGTAACCTAACTAACTAACTACCTGGCTGACTGACTGACTGAGTGACTAACTGTAATCAGTTATTTGAAGTCTGGATTATAACCCTGGATCTATAGCTAATAGCTAGCACTTCTGTTTCTAGCACCTAAACTAATGAATCTCTTTTCTTTTATAACATATTTACCTTAACAATAACTGTTTGTAACTTTCCGCTAAAATAACACAACACTCTACAAACCAAAGGATCTCATGCAACCAGTATGAATCAGCCAAACACATCAAACTGGGATGAGCACAGACGCGACCCACCATTTAGTGCTAACCTCACGAACAGATAATAGCCCTTTTCTAAGGCAGTTCACCTGACGGGACGCCTTGAGACGAGTCTTGTTAAGAGACTGTTTTACAAACACAGTATGTGTGGCTGAAGCTGCGGTGAGCGGCCTATGAATGGTCTTTGTTAGGACTTATGTACCTACGTTTTCTTTTGTTGCCTGCAGGGGGAGACAAACCTTAAGTAAACTTCTGCACACACATAGCCTCAGCTGATGAAACAACTTAAGGCTAGATTTTCGCATAATGACACTTGGTTTGCAACACTGAAACAAGTCTATCCGGAGGTTAGTCTCTGAGACAAAAAAACATGAAACTTGACATGACGGACTATACGTTACTGAAAAAAAAATAGTAGTAAATAAACTATATTAAATTCTATTAGATTGCACATCTCCCATTTTCCATTTTCAAGTCTCAACAATGTTTTTAATTAAAACTGAATGTCATTAGTTTATAAAATCAAAGTAGGATAATTCATTCTGCTAGCACAAGTAGCTGGATTACAGTCGTTTTTATGATGGAATCAGTCATTAAACCAATCCATCATCATTCTTTATATCAAAGTCAACACGGCGTCAGTATGTTCTTGGTGGTCCTCGTTCGTTCAGTGATTACTCTTATTATGCTACGTTACACCATAATATCTCTCACTTTAACTGCATTAAGTAGCTGTCGTGTTCAACCTTGATGTTTCTGCAGAATAACAAATTCCTGTATCAACGTGGCCTCGATTTTGAACAAACCTTCATTGAAATCCTTCACTAAAAAAAAAGAGCTCATCAAACTGGATCCACAGAACACAGGTTCAGTTGCCTGGAGACTAGCACAGAAACAATCACTTCTCTTTCTTCCTATGTGGAACTATTCTCTTTTTCTATCAAACATATGCATGCTCAACATCTTGTTAAAGGAATGTGTTAAGTATTATCATTTTCTTTTACATGGCACAACAGGGCAGCTGCCCTCGTTACTGCCTGTGCACAAAATGGTTAAAAGACACATCAACATTTCGTGTAAACCGAGATTACTGGACTTTGACGACATGGTATCACATCACAGACACAGAGACAGACGTGCGCACATATAAACACACACACAACACACACTCATTTACGGCACATGTAGTACACAAATACGATCATAACAATGGCTTTCTACGTACATTTCTTTTGTGTATACATCAGTATACATGATTTAAATACAAGAATGATGAGGATTCACAAAAAGAAAGGTCAATCTTCTTTTTTCAAGATAAAAACAATCATGACACAGTTAATGCTGACATATTCTCTTTTTGTCATTTTATTTATTGCGAGCTAAACAATATGGCTTTGTCTAGTGAAGAGTCCTATCTGAGTTTGAAAACAAAGAAAGGAAACGAATCATTTGAAACGAATTTACTAAATAATTAAAATATAACTGTTAGCATTAACTCTTAAAGTAACAAGTTTGTGAAACAATCTGTAATTTAAATGTTTTTGCTTCAACTAACTGTCAGCAAGACACTGCATCATTTTAGTGGGGAAAGACATGCTTTTTAAACCAATGTATAGTGTGTTCCCGTTGCACAAAGACACAGTTTTTAATTTTTATTTCACTCCTACCAGTTGGAGGTTGCATTGAAGCACTTGCCATGATCCAGCCAAAAATGTAAATTAGCTGTCTCACGCATGAAGCTACAGTAGGTATTGTTTAAATGTGTTAAATTGGTGTTTTATGCCTCAGAGTAGAGTGAAATGTTTACATATTGTGTGTGACTAAAGGCGTAGAACTGTGTCAAATATAGTGTCTCACAACAAGTTAATTTTTGATGTCTTATTACCACGACAAGGTGTAGGATTTAAATTCAGTATATATTAATCTAACGGACAAGAGCTTGCTATCACACTGGCTAGCATACCACGGTAATACACTTAAATGTAGCATTGCTTGTTTGACTTACAAGTTTAGTTAAATCTAGAACATCGTGGTTCTTTCCCAGTTCTTTGTTATAACGTATGTGTTGGCTGGAACACACTACAATGTCCGCAGATTAAGACAGTTTTAATAATAAGCTTTTTTCTCCAGCAAATTTGTTAAATGCTATGGAATGAATCACAATAGAATTTGTCTGATGCAGTGAGAGAATATAATCTTCCACGATCATTTCAGGCAGTGACATGGCTCACAGGCCTTTTTTCTTTTCTTTTTTTTTTCTCAGTCTACAGTAACAAGATCTAAACTTGGTAAACGACTGAATACTTTCAGTATTACTTAAATTCAGAGGTGGTCTTTGGAATGTATGTACACATTGTAAACAGAAAATTGCGCCTCTCTCTGCTACCGTTCTCACATATTCACAAATAGAATAATCCAAAAAAAAAAATTGACATGTGTCGATCTAACCAGTGACAAAATGGAAAAGACTCCCTGTATTTCTTTGGTCTCGATGTCAACAGACTACGCTCATTGTAAACTTAGGAGTGTTAGCTTAAAGAACACATTGTGCCTGCAGCACATTCACAGAAATGTAAATCCAGATGTTATTTGGTGCTTGCACTTATGTTTAAAAAAAGGATGAAAAATATGCATAATGGTTAAAGTAAAATAAAATCCCACTCAATAAATAAGTGTGTAATGTAGAACACACAGTAAACTAATCATGGATGGATTTTCTGGTGGAAAATGACAACATGCACACACAGAGGACTACAACAGTGTTACTGTGGCTAATGCTCTGATTGTCAATGGGGACCAAGCTATCAAAATATGACGTCATGTTCATGTGTACATTTAGAGATGATCAGTTCCATTTAAACTGGTAAGGGACAAAAACGGGTGAATTTTTTTGAGTCGGAATTTAGTGATGGAGAAGTTGGCAGTCGAACTAGCTGACAGTCTTAGAAAGTGTAAACTAGGAGTCTGTGTAAAAGACAAATAAATGTTGTATTCTACAGTAAACAGTTATTTCGGAAGCTCGCAGTCAGTGAATTGTTTGAGGTTCGTGTTAATGCAGCTTATCAATAACAACCTTCGTTTGGCCAGTTGGTGCAAATCAAAGTAAATAATTCTAAAAAAAGATCACGGCAACATTTAACATTTAAGAACAAAATATTAATATTTTAGATATATTTTAACTTACCTCAAACAAAACTATTTTTTTATTTCACATATCATAAAACATATTAATTGTTTAAAAATCAATTTCACCTTTAGAGAACTTTGTTCTCCAATTGGTAAACTTGTGTTTTGCACCAACAGGCCAACATAAATCATTCAACAATTAATCTAGATTATTAAAGGGCTGCACACCAAACAGAAATCTGCCTCCAGCAACAACAGTAATGAATACACATCCTCCAGAATTTTAAAGGTTTTCTAGTTTGACTTTCCAAAAAGCCCCAAATAGGCTAGTTAGCCAAAATGCACAGACATAAAACACGTTTTCAAGCTGCTGCTATCTAAATCCTCAGCAAAAACTGTTTTGCTGTGCATCTTTTTTTGCATTTCTAAACAAACGGAAATACAGAGGAATGTTACAGTAGGAATGGTGAAGAATGTACCCAAAGATTAGTCTGAAACATATTTGAGCTACGTATCAGAACCCTCAAGGTTGTTGAAAACAAAACAACATTTCTGTTCCAGTTTGAAATCTGGAAACGCCAAGAAAAGCCTCTGAACGTTAGCCTACATGCTACCGACAACTGAGCGGTGGTTCGACCAGAATGAAACCCTCATTTACAACTCCTCTGTACGAGGACATGATATGAAGGCACGTGTCCTAAAAACGCAAATGCTGATTAATATATATATATATATATAATGTATTTTTTAAACTCTTTTTAGTACAAATACCTACACCAAGTTCAAGAAAGTAGAAAACATTGAAATAAAAAAAAGAAAAGTCTACTGAAAAACATGTTGCAATTTAAAAAACACAGAAGATAAAGTAGAGAGTTAAAGTAGCCACTGCTTTTCTTTTTCAAAGAAATACTGTCCTCCAGTTTGTCACCAATGTATGACAACATACTGTATGATGAACCAACCAACCAATCACAACATCTGATCTGAATTAATTCCAAATAATAACAAGAACAGGACAGAGGGGAAAAGGCAGTAATTGTAGGAAATGTGCTGAAAGTCGGCAGTCGAGAGGTTTTACAGCAGTGAAGACAGAGATAAAACAGTCAACAAGTAGAAAAAGAAAGTACAAGATTTGTAGAAAGGCAGTGTGTAGCCTCTAACAGTTTGGCAAGAACCCCCCTCCCTCCCTCACCCAAATCTATGTTGAACTACATTTGCACCCAGAATTCCTCCAAACTTCTCTACTCAACTCCTCTCTCCCCCTCGTTTCCTAACTCCTAACTTTCACCCATCCCACGTTCCCCTAACTAAAAGTTTCCCGTCCTCCCTCCGCCCATTAGCCTAGCTCAGGCCAAACTGGACCCTGAAGTCAGGGTTTGTTGGTTCTTTATCTCAGTTATCTGTATTTACTTCTACTTCTTGAACATGTCCTGTAAAGGTCCAGGCAGATACTTAAGGACAGTGTCGAGGATGCTTTCCTCATCCTCCTCGTCATCCCCACAGCCTCGTGGGATGGCCTTCTTTGGACGTGTCAATGACCCTTCGCAGGCCTGCTCCATGGCTGCTTTCTCCTCCGCCTCCTTCTCCTCCTTCTTCTTCAGACCGTACTTTAAATCCACAGAGAGACAGACAAGGTTTTGGTGTGTTTGCATATCTACCACGTCTAATCTGTGGAGTTAAATTTGTTGTCCTCTTACCTTGTCCCTAATGGTCTGTCGTACTTTTTCCCTCTCTGCTTCCATGCGGGCATGTTTGGCCTTTCTCTCCTCCTCCTGCTGTCGGAGAGCCTCCTGCCGCTCCTCCTCTTTCTTCGCTGCATCTGGGTCTTTCTCCTCCTCCCCACCAAGCATCTTTCCCATGTCTTTGGTGGCTCCTGTGTGGGACACGGTAGAAGACATGGCAGTTAGTTTATCTTTCTTCCTAAGGGTAAATGTGGCTTTGATATCTGTCTGGGTGAACTTTGAGGTTCCAGAAAAAAACAGCTTAATGTTGGTTAATTTTTTGACATCTAAATGGACTGGAACCCTTAATATACCCTGGTATACAGGACTGAAGGCACTGGTGAGCACTTTCTTATTTGCAGTTACAAATGAAGTGTTTTGACAGTGACAGCTGATGGCTGTGCCGCCGCGACACTTTGACTTCCTGTTATCGTCCCCCTCTGCTCTTCAACCAGGCTCACCTCTCCATCATCAGTGAGAAAAGCTGTTTTCTAAGATGTCAAAGCCACTTCCTGTGGGCCTGTCCACGCTGCTGTTGTTACCTCTCAGTGATCGATACTAAATACAGGACCACCAAAGAGTAGATGAATTATGGATCGTCCAGCAAGAAGAAAACTTCATCTGGATATTGATCTGTGTGTCCCTCAGGCACTGGTGAGGACACAACCTGGCCGGCAGTCTATTTTTCTATCTAGTGCTTTTCATAAACCAAAAACAAAGATGAACTTATTTCACCAGAGGGTCGAGGAACTGGAAGAATCTGTTTTAATCCCAAAGACTAAATGCTTCTTAAAGGTCACATACTGTTAACAGTTCTTATGAACCCAGAGAGAGACTGACACAATTACCTCGCCATATAAGAAAGGAAAGTACTTTCATGTTGCCGGCTAGGGATACAAAAACAATTCCAGAGGAGGTCTTTGAACATTCCCTGGTTTCTAGACTACAGTATATAAACTATCACACCAGAATATTAAATCAGTGTGAGGTCAGTTGTTTAACAGCAGGTTAGGATAAGGGTAACTGTGTCTAATTATTTTAAATACAGTTAAGGTCTAAGGCAGAACACAGATGGTAGGTCCTGGTCTCAGTGTAAAATGTTCTTTCACGGTGTGGACATTAATGCACTGCAACAGCTATAAACTGTGGAGATAGCAAGTATTAAACATTCATGGTTCAATCATTACTATTGATCAACTCAGTCCATTCCAGTCCTCAGAGATGCAGTATATTCAGGGCGTTTATTGTTATGTGGTTGTAAAAACGTGAATTATTGTCTGCAATTAAACACACAGGAGCCCAACAGAGAACGCTTCGGAGTAAATTACTCTGAAGAAATGTGGCTTAGAGGAATTTGTTTTCCCTGATGGGTTTGCGAACCCAGGGGTGACCGGTGCCGTCGCTGTGTGGTGGCGTCAGACACTGTCACACAGTGGCACTAATTGCCCTGCAGTGTCGTGGCGTCCTTAGCAAAGCGGGGGATAATAAATTAGCCCACAGTTGGGGGGCGGAATGAGGGAGGTGAAATATTTTTCCATGAACCCACCAGGGGCCTGTGTGAAGGTCAGACTGTGGGGTGTTGTGTGTTGAAACAGCCAAACATGCAGCATATGTGTTGGAACAGTGTGCGTGTCAACACCTGAAGGTCAAGTGTAATCATAGGATTGTTACATGGGAGTGCATTTGCAATAAATGGAGTTATTACCGAACACATACCTCTTGCTGTTGGTTCTCGTAAACTACATCTTTGCTCGATCACAAAAGAGTTGGTGTTTGTGCTCAAATTCAACATTTCAGTGTTTCAGAATTGTGGCTGTAAAAGATTTAGTTCATTGGTAACAGCGAAGCCAACTATTCAGAGAATGATTTCATTAAACCAGAGAACAACCAATAATAGTAAATGAAAACGGCCCCCATGGAGATGTTGTCTTTACATGTTCTCCCCCGCCCCCCCACCACTTCATCCATCCTCTTCCTATGTCCTTATCTGTCCTCTACCAGTCCTCCTCCATCTCCCTGTGGTTTTGCTTTCCTATTACTTTGTTAAAGTGATATTGAAGGACTGATTTGATTCTGTGGTTTCCATTCTTTCTGATTCCTAGACGTGTCAGTCTAAACAACCAATGTACCACCAATGCATTATTTTTCTCTTTTTTCCCCCCCTCCACCTTCTTCATCAGTCCATTACACGGACCAACCAATGGTGGGCATTTTTAGACTAAGTGCTTCAACACATTGTTCAGGTTCAATCACATTCTTTCTACATCCAGTCTTTTCCCGAGGTCTTGTCTTGAGGGCAACGTGGTTTTAACACACAAAGGCTTTCCATCAGACGTCATGTGAATGAAAGTGCAGCCGCTTCATAGCACTTGGCCTAACAGACACAACAGTGGGCAGCAGAGAGTGTATGAGGTCCTGATCTGACTGAAGAAGTAGATTTAATTCATGATCATTTGTTATGATCCTGAAAGTAGGTGAAAACCTCTGCATCTTGTCCTGATGTTTAATAACAAACTGTTATGGTTATGGCTTTTACCACTGCTAATACATGATGTATAACACTGACTATGACGTAAAACTAAATCCTGGAGAGATTGAACATAAAATATAACCTAGCAAAGAACGGTTGTTTGTCGAATTTTGTTTTACTACTGAAAAGCCACAGAAAAACACAGCCTCTTAACATAAAAAGCACAGAAAAAGAGTATAGGTTTTGAACAGTTGTGGGTAGTAACGAGTTACATTTACTTGAGTATGTTTTTTTTTAAATAAAATACTTCTAGGAGTAGTTTTAAATCACTATTTTTTTTCTTTTACTTGAGTAGATTTATGAAGAAGAAACAGTACTCTTAATTCACTACATCAGGCTAAACATTAGGATAAACTCATTAAAAAATGAATCAGATGTTACTCAACAGTTACTTAGTACTTGAGCAGTTTTTACTCTAAGTACTTTTTTACTCTTACTCAAGTAATTATTTGGATGACTACTTTTTTACTTGAGTAGTATCACTCTGAAGTAACAGTACTTTTACTTGAGTACATTTTTTGGCTACTCTACCCACCTCTGGTTTTCAATGTATCTAGGTAGAACGTTTTACAACATTAACCCTAACTTTTATTTTTCAGTAATATGTATAATTTAATAATACATTTTCAAACCATGTTTCATTTCCTTTGATTCTATTTACATATTATCTGAGACGTAATATTTACTGATAAGGGCTGACGTTTCTTGAGACTGTTCTCAAAACAGACACTGTTGGTATTTTCAATGTATTTGTATATTGTTTGTTTATCCTTTATGTGTGACTTCATGGGGACATTAACATCGGAAAAAAATCACCTTTTCTCATAAAGGAGCTCAAATAAAAAAAGATAGTACGAAGATAATCTGGACAATCAGCAGGAGCCGGCCCTGACCACAGGGACCGGAGCTCTCCATTTCATTTCCTGTGCAGGTGGCAAGAAGATGAACGGGGAAGGAAGGGGAGAGGTGCAATAACAGGAAGTCACAGGGAGGTTGACGACAACAATGACACACAAACACCCAGAAACATGGCTTCTGGGAATGAAAGCGACAACCATCTTGTGACGTTATGCCAAAAGCTCTCCAAAAGGCTGATGGATGCTGGAAATTTTTCGGCTAGTTTAGCCAGCCATGTTACTTATGAGGGTGTAATTTCTGCAGCGGTCTTCCATTATTTAAATGAACTCAATTTTTCAAGCGCACCCCCCTCCTCGAACAAATTATCCAGCAGCAGTAACATCCATCTGGAAGGAGGAGGAATAAATGGTCCATGAGCCACACTTTCTCACTTCCTAGTCGGAATTCTTCCTCTGTAGCTCTGTACTTTTAGTTCAGTCTGAAATGTAGTTTCTAACTACGTTTTGACAAATGTTTGGATGAAAACATTTTGTGTCATTTTAACTTAGTTTAAATATTTTTGTTTAGAGAAAAATCTTTTCAAATATTGATACGTTAGATTATAATTCCAGGTCTCTGCTGAGTCAACAGTAGGGCGGCTCCATAGTCTCTCTTCTCTTTCATTTTACTAACATTCTACCAGCAGATAGACTGGTTGTTTCCCAGGGTTCAGGTCAGGAGTAGATGAGAAATGATAAACATCGCATGACGTCTATGACTTGAGGAGACACAGACCTCGGCAGGAGACACTGATTTACTTAACCTTTTACCCATGAGGCATTTGCTCCAGCTACATCACCACATGATTCAATTGTAAGGATCAGAGAGACAGAGACAGTGTCTTCTCCAAGGGACAGGACACAGATTCATTTATAATACAGAGCATACTGATGATTTTTAAAACGTCTCTGCAATAAAAAAAAAAAAATCAGTACAAATGACTGTTTTAGGTTACGTGGTTTGTTTCGGTGATTGTTCTCCGTTTACCTGTAAATCCTAAAACTCACACAATTTTTAAATTGTGTAAACTCCCATACTGCACTCTGATTGGTCAAAACACACAGATGACGAGTGATTTCTCTACTTTCACCATGACTGGGGCTCATACGTTCACAGCCGGTAATAAATGTGTAACACAGCAAGTTTGGAAAGATTAGACGAACAGAACAACAGCAATCTTCTCTGTACGTGATGCAAAGTAAATGGAAAGTGACAAGTAGCAGGTCCGTGAATGCACCACAATGTCACTGATTAATGTAATACAACATGAAAGCGCTGATGAATTCGATTTCTAATTAAACAGCCAGTAAATACGACGTGTCACCCACGGCTGTGATCTATACCTCGGTCTGGAGCAGACGGACAGTCAGGAGGTGTCCCACATATAATGCCATTACACTGTGTGTGCGTGTGTGTGCGTGCCACATTAGATGAAGTTGCTAAATTGGATTGGTGTTTGTCATTGCATGTTTTCTGATACACCGGATTAGTCAAGTGTTTTGATGCCTTCAATAACTTTGTGATAATGACATGCATCAATCTGAACTCTGACAGTCATGGTATCATTTTAGTATCACAGGTGGAAAGTGTATGAAAGTTCACAACATCTGTGTGCATGATTTTAACTGTTTATTTATTCAGTCATTACAACATTTTGACACTAAGTCTATGATGTGAATAAATAACGTCTGTGGTGATTCGTAGTTTCTGTCATATTACATTTGGAACTGTTTTGTGATGGTTCCTATGAGAAGTCACCTGAAATGACCAAGTGATGTTGTTGTAAAAGACACATGAAAGTAAAAAACAAACAAAAAAAACCCAACAAATAATAATAAAAAAAATGTAATTTGTCGTGAACACGCCCTCTTCAGGACAAAATGCCCTTAAAAATAATAAGACCCAAAACATCATCTGTGTAAGTCTCTCTCTGTGTGTGTGTGTGTGTGTGTGTCTGCTGCTGCTGTACATATATTCCACAATGACCAGCTGCGTCCCAGTGAAATAAATGCCAGTCTGCTCCTGGAGGAAAAGGTCACAGCAGGAGACGGCACCTTTAGAGGAGGTAAATAACCTGAGATGGATGGATGGATGTTGGCGGGGTCAGGGGTGGTGCACAGGAGGGATTCTGCCCTGCTGGAAATAATTGAAAGCTATATGGGATGGAGGGCGTGAGTTAAAGTGAAGGGGCTAATACAATGAACGTAAAGATCCAGGGCTGCAGCATTCACAGCGAGGAGGAGAAGGAGATGGATGGACAGAAGAGTCAGAGCAGGAGAGGGAGGAGTGACTGCATTAGAATGAGAAGGAGAGGGTTTGGTTTTCATTCCTACAAACTCAACATAATAATGACAAGTGAGAGAAAAGGGAAGGTAGAAGAAAGAAGGTAGAGGGAATAGGAGTGGGAGAGGTGTAAATTAGTAAAGTAATAAATCTTATTTTATTGTGGTCACTATAGACTGATGAGAGGTTTATTTTAATGAGGTACTGACCTCTGGCCCCTGGGGGTCACTCATTTAAATTAAACCTTCGTGCTGCTTTTCACTTATTTATTTTTATGTTTCTGTTACCGAGTTGAAACCAAGGGCAGAAACGAATAAAGTTCAAGGAATCCAATAACAGATATAGATATATATATTTGTTATTTTTTCTGCTCTTGTAAAATAAGAAAATGCAATTTTAGGATAAAATAATCTGATTCTTGGTACAAATGGAGAAGAAGGTCAACAAACAGTGAACATGATAGGACACAATAGGTGCCAAACACTTGTTTTGTATTCTTTATAAAGACTGTAGTCAGAGTACTTACCACCTAAAGCCTGCTTCATTACAAAATCCATGGTTGCTGCTGATTGTTAGAGTTGATCGTTCTCAGAGCTGCAGACCACTGAGCATGTAGCCACCAGACCTGTGACTCTCCGGGCGAGCTGAGATCCTTCTAACGTCTGGTGATGTTGACGCACGATTGGTTGCACCTTAAAAAAGAGCATTTTCATTTGATTAATGTATTGAACTGAATCTTGTCTTTTCAAAGCTTCACTTTGTGGTGATGGTCACAATGACCTGGTCCTTACACTGAACAACATAGCAGTGCATTTCTGTGTGTCTTACATTTAGAAACAGAATGACGGACTTAAACAAGATTTAAACAACGCAGAATAAAAATCATTTGTATTTTTTCACCTGCAGCTGCACCCAGCATTTGAAAAGACTGGATTTAAGAAACAAACACGTTTAAAAAGCTAAGAGCCTCAGTGTCAGTTTCAGTCACAGCAGATTCCTTCCGATACGGTTTACAATTTGTGACGATGCATTTTATTATGCATGCTATTGAAAGAGCTGATGGTGAAAGCTGTTTTGGCCACGCCCCTCCGTTTCCATCACACAAAAGTCAATAGATTTTAGTGTAGCCCTGTAGCTGTGGAACAAGAAATGGTGTCGACGCCACAGCTAACAGTCTGTGATCATTGTATGTCGTACTAAACCAAATGCTTTGCCTTCGATACATCAACGGAGACACTAAGAACAAACATAGATCTCCAGCACACACATTGTGTCACATTGACAGAAACACACACACAGTAATGGAGTCTTCTTTAGGTTCTTAACCCCTGTGACAGGACTCCTGAGTGAGGAAAGGCTAACCACTGGACATTCCACTGAGTCACTCAACCATGTGGAACTCAATAAGGGCAGAGGATCAACCGTCTTCTGCTGCTAAACCAGCTCCTACAAAAATCATTTACAGGTTTATGTTACATGACAAATATTCAATAAGTTTGTTCAAGTTTACAAAAAATAATTATCAAAATAATAATACATTTAGTTATATCCCACAAAATATGCTTATGAACATGGGATTTGTTACTTACAAGGAAAATTTGAAATGTTTCTGATGCATAACGACACAGAGATAATATGATACCTTTGGCCCATGTCTATAAATAGCAACGTATTAAGAATCTTCAGACAGAACAGACCAGAGAAAATTAGGCATAGGCATAGTTGCATAATATTTCATTCCTTAAAGGACAAGGAAAAATGGAGAGATATGTTTAATGACCAATATTATATTGGTACTAATATTATTATACTAAAACTACATGACATGATGGGATGTCCGTCACCATTGGTCGATCATGACGTACCACCAGTTTATGCTGAATACAATTCCCTCCAATGAAATCTGAATCTGTTTTTGTTTTTA